ACAGATGAAGAATGTTTTAATATTGTTACAAACCTACGGCCATCTAAGTTCCTGCCTCCTTGTATCATGGGTGGGGAGTCCTTGTACAAAGTATTGGGACTACAGGACAGTAGCTTGCCTGATGCTTGTTTCTTACAGTAGGGTGGGATTTTAAAAAGTGCTCGGCATGAGCATGACTCTCCCCCACTGAAGTCATTGGTAAAACTCCTTATGGCTTCAGTGGAAATAGAGTTAGGTCAGCTCGAAGCACATATGAAAACCCAATTGTAGTATGTATGGAAACAAGGGCAAGAGGCAATTAGTTAATAGCAAGAGGCTCTGTTAACGAATCCTAGTCTATAGTGCACTCCCAAGGCACCTAAATCCTCTGGCTTTTATTTAAGGAATTTAAATGTTAAAAAACTCCTTACAAGTTACTTGTAAATATCAGCAAATTGTTTTTAAAATGATTTATGCAAATTAGCTCTTTAAATGCTTTGCCTGAAATGCCCTTGATTCCCCCCCCCTCCCCCCCCACACACACACTGAAAAGATGGCAACCCTAAATGGGGCCTATACTGTTTTGGGAGACAGTCAGAGAAGCTGCTGTTGGCTAAAGGTGCTGAATCAAACTGCTTAGCTGGATTTCTGAAAGTGGAATTAATTATCTGTGTGAAGCTGCTGCTTTTTGCTGTCTTTGCTGAAGAGTTGAAATACTAGTGAATAATATAACTTGTGAATTCTGGGTGTTTGTCTGTCCTCTCAATTTGACAATTACTCCAGAAATAGAAGTTGTTTTTGACTGCCAGAAAGACATGGGGAAACTGAGGTACTGATCGGATAAGCAAATTGTCGGTGCTCAACGTAACTGGTCACTTTCTGGACGGGAATAGAATTTAGGAGTTCCTAGTTCCATGCTCAATCCCCTGGAACACAGTACAGTGCCTGAATATAAACTTTTATTAATAAAACCCCCTCCAAATAACTGGAGAAATCTATATTTGCTAATTCTTGCATCTTCCTTGGTAGATGAATAGAAGTTCATCAGCAAAGAAACATTGCAGTTGAGCAGTTCCAATCCTTCACACTCTGCAAATGAAGGAAGATAGTGACTGTGGGCCATGATTTAGGGTACTGCCGGGCTACATTTGGTCCTCAGACCACAGACTGGACACCTCAGTTGTAAAAGGAAGTGCTCTTGAATATTACAACTAGGACAAAGTGAACGGTGCCCCGTGCCACAGTTTGGCTGCTTTCTTCCTGCAAGAGCTGAGTAAGACTGTGCTGTCTACAGGGCCAGCGCAAGGATATTTCGCGCCCTAGGCAAAACTTCTACCTTGCGCCCCCCCCTCCGCTATTTTGGTGCGGGGGACTGGTCCCAGGCCTCCGTGGGGGACGGGGGGCAGGGGGGCTGGCCACTTCCTGCGGGAAGTGGAGTGACCCGACCCCAGCCTGCTCCGCTCCCCTGGCTCCCAGCCATGCCGCTGGCAAGTGTGGGGGGACAGTTCCCCCCTCCCCCCAAGCCTGGGAGCCAGGGGAGCGGAGCAGGCTGGGGCTGGGTCACTCCACTTACCATGCGGTGAGTGCAGGGTCGGGCCTGGCTGCAGTCTTCAGGGGAGTGGGGGCAGGGCTGGGGCGGGGTGGGGCTGGGGCGGAGCGGGGCTGGGGCCATGGGGCGGAGCAGGGGCCATGGGGCAGGGGCGGGGAGCCCCCTCGCAGCAGCTCCCCGCCCTGCAGCGCCTCCCTGCAGCAGTTCCCCGCCCCCCTCCACCCGGGGAGCCCCCCCTGCGTCAGCTCCCCGCCCCAGCTCACCTCTGCTCCGCCTTCTCCCCTGAGCGTGCCGGCGCCGCTCCACTTCTCCCGCCTCCCAGGCTTGCCGAACCAGCTGTTTGGCGCGGCAAGCCTGAGAGGGGAGGAGAATTAGAGCGGGGGCGGTGTGCTCAGGGGAGAAGGCGGAGCGGAGGTGAGCTCGGGTGGGGAGCAGTTCCCCTGCACACACCCCCGTTACTTGCTGCGGGCAGCCCTCCCCGCACTCCCCTGCCCCAGCTCACCACTCCACCGCCTCCCCTGAGGGTGCTTTTTGGTGTCCCTAACCACTTGGCGCCGTAGGTAGCCGCCCAGTTCGCCTAGTGGTTGCACCGGCCCTGGCTGTCTGCATCCGGAGTAACAGGCTGCTTCCTGTAAAGAGTTATTACTGCAAATAAAGAGACATTGGGCTGATTTGATCAGTAGAGCAGCGCCTAAGAAATTACTTTCCTAGTCAAGTTTGTCATTGTGAAACAGAGCCTTTCTTTCAGGTCATTGTTCTCATGTTATTGGTCTGACCAGGGTACACTGCTTTTCATGAGACTGAATCAGGTTAGATGTTTTCAGTAGCCTCATGTTTTAGTGGCCATCATGAAGTAGGCTCCTGATGATCAAAGAGTATTATCCATCTCATTAGCTGCCAAATTTATAGCATTGCTGATTAAATGGCTCAGAGTCAGAAGCCATCCAGCTAATCACATCTGTGCTGATGGTGGCAAGCCACCAGTAATGTATCCATGCAGTATGCTATGCAAGAATGGAGTATGCTTGCCTGTTCTACTCATGAAAAAGGTCAGAAAGCTAAGAGATGTGTCTGAGAGCTGTATAATTCTCTTCCAGGACTTGGTTTGTGCCTGCTAAGAACAGCCCTACACCGCATGACTCATTCCTCTCCAGAGGAAGCTCAAGGAAGCCAGGAGACACTTGCTGGCTCTCAAGGGAAGTTTCATACTTCTCCATCCCTCACCACTCTGGAACCAGTTAATCCTGGTGTTTTGTAGGGCGGACCAGAGAGTTGTAGCTTGAGCGGAGGTCTGAACCTACAGCCCCAAGCTGTCCCCTCTCTGTCTCTGCACTGGATCTAGAGCCAGCAAAGGGATGGATTCATTCCAGAGTGCTTCCAGACACACAAAGTAAACAATCTGGGGAAGAAATCGAGAAAATATGTATTTTTCTTCTTCAGTTAAAAATTATCATAGGTGTTACATGTACCTGCAAAATTTTCATTTGAAAATGTGATGGGTCTCTTTAAAGGGGGGTTATGTAGCAAATGGATGGGTTAGTTAAAAATAAACCCCTTAATACCTGCTATTCCGATCTTAAACTTACCAATTTATTAGTTGAAAACCATGATGGGAAACCACACAGCGGAGCCTCCTTAAAAAAGCTTCATTCTTTTTGAACGTTATACCCCACAGGATCTTTACTAATATGCTTTGAAGCACCATAAAAATATAATTTCAACTACGGTCGTCATGGTAAATGAACAAAGTATTTTTTGCTAAGCGAGATTGATTCTGTTTCACTGTTTGCTCATTTCCTCGTTAATTCTCCAAAATAAAAGTAATTCGCAATGCACCAATCTTTAGTGTGAATTTGTGAGATTCTGCAGTAATTTATCTGCATGCTGTACAATAACAAATGATGATCATTAGGTTCTATTTGCAAAGTAGCTTTAACAAGCTTGCTTATCTGTTTCATTGTATTATTTTATTAGCGTAAGCAGCTCTGATCCTGCTCTCTTTTAGGGATTTCAGCAAGATGAAGTGATTGATTGAATATGACACTTCGTTTGCATCGACTGTAACAGTTTGAAAGCCATAAACAATCCCTCAAGATAAGGATGTTTGCTTGAGTTGTCAGGGAAAGATTAAAGCATGTTTGGCATCTGAGGCTAATGATGGAAATACTTAGGAGGAAGTTTTCATCACCATCCCTTGTACCTACATAGCAGAGCATGTCCTACATGGTTTGAAAAGTCTGGCAGCTGATGCTGAATTGGAATTGTGTAGCCGCTTTGGCAGTGATCCAACCTGCCCCTTCACAAATTAGCTTTTGTGGACAGCTAACAAGCTTCCTTGCCAATCAATGCGAGCCATTTCTCACAGACAACACTCGTGGTCCTTCCTCACGTCAGTATGTTTGGTGTAAATGAAAAATATGTGCTGCAGGGTGAAATGAGCTATCAGCAAGTCTGTATGGACAGGCCATGCTGGTTTTATATTACAGCCAGTAGGGAGCTTTCAAGTCCCTGGTTGTCTCTATTTGCTATAATTTATAGAAGCAATCACGGCTGATGACAGTATGTTAGAAGGTCTGTCAATGGAGTTGTCACCCAAGTGGTTATGGGATGAAGCCATGAGGCCCTGGAAGTATCTTAGCTGCCTTATTTAACCTCCTGAGTGTCCAGTAGCAGAGTGGACAGGAGGGAAGGCTACTGAGAGCCAGGAAAACTCATGCAAGACAAAAGGATCAGCCACCTTGAAAAGGTGCCCCTCCCCCCCAACAACAGACAGCATACTTTAGGTTTATATTTTGCTGTCTCCTGCTACCTATAGTCCTGTCCTGGGTCTGGACTACACACAATTTTTGTTCCGATTTAACTACATTGGTTTAAAAACTGATGTAGTTAAATTGGTAGAAACACCTAGTGTACATTTATCATAATAAGCTATTCCAATATAAGCATGTCTCAATTGGTATAACTGCATCCACACAAAGGATTGCACCAATTTATCTATGTTGGATTGGTTCTAAACTAGTATATTGGTACAGAAATCGTGTGGAGACAAGCCCTTGGACTAATTGCTCTCCAGTAAAAGGCTTCCCTAGATTTTATCTGTGCTGTTTATTTCTCCTCCTTAACTGTGTGACTCTCATGGATTAGTTGAATCTCATCTACTCCTAGGCGCTACGGGAATACAAATAATCATCATAAGTGCATGTAAAATGTCATTTTGATCTCTAAGGCACTTTGCAGTTTGATTTTTCTCTTCCTATGTGTTTATCACTCTGATTTTGGAGTAATTTGACAGACTAAATCATGCTGGAATTATGCGCAAACTTCTCCAAGTCGGAATTGGACCCATTTCTGAAGTGTGGCAGCCATGGTTGAACATAAACACCAGACCACAGTTTGAATGCTTGCCCCATTATTCTGCTGTTTGAACGGTAGCCTGATCACAGTCTTGTCTTTACCATTTACTTTGGGACAGGGTTTGACCTGGTGGATTTGTTCAGCGTGAAGGAAATTTTTGGAAGGAAAGAAAATGGAATTCAGAGTTCTTATGTACGACTTGGAAGCTTCCCCATCGTGCAGAAAACTGAGTAAGTTTCCTGATCTTCTTTTCACTTGAGCCTCTGATATCTGTGATTTAGTTCTTTTAAGTTAACCCAGAGTCTTAGCGGATGTCCCGAGGCAGTGCATCTATAGGAAATGCATAAAGGAGTTTCTGCTGACTTTGAGTTGTCCATTCAACTCTGCTGGCAATGCTCTGTCACAAGCCACCCTGGAACCTAGGTTCTAACCCCATTAATCACCCCTGTCTAAAATGAGCGTTTGGTGGCACTTTCACCGAGGTGTGTATTTGCTAACCGCAGGAGACTGATTCCCAGTGGATGTAGTTATCAGGCAGCTAATACAGTTTCTTAACCTCCTAAAAGAATGAACAGCAGTTAATCCTCTGTCAACATGGATTCAGTTCTCAGGGGCTTTTATAACATGAGGCTGCCAGCTGTGTCACAGTCCATCAAAATGGGCTCTCTTCAACCTGTCATATGAGTTCTGCTAGCATTAGCCTTGAGAAGAACGAGTGCATAATTTCATTGAGTACCTATGGAACAATGGATTGAATTGTCATTGTTAACTTTTTTTTTGCAGTAAATGTAAGTGTGATCGTTTTAAACTTAATATTAAAAAATCAATATTAATTATTTTCCTTCTTCTGGACAAGAGTTATTTTTCTAATCTGTTTTGACTCTTCTCCTTGGCTCATTGCGTATTGGAGATACTCTGGCCATTTACATTTATTTGATTTCATAAGCGTGGTCATCCTGGAACCAACCTGGATTGATTCCCTCTCCACCCTATCCCCTAAAAAAAAAAAAAAAAAAGGGAAAAAGTGAAAATATGACTACAAGAAAAAAGTTTAAAGTCCTCAAATTATGTCAAGTCTCAGGGCAAGTGAATTTAGGAATGGGGATAAATTCAGTGTACTAAATAAACCTTGGTCACTATGTGAAATGTATATGTAATTGCTCTATGTATAATGGGACTGGACTAATTCTGTATGATTCAGGAAAATGAGAAAGGGATACAGAGTCTTTCACCTCTGCTGTGGCTTGTTTGTTTAAATCCTGCCTAAATTTGTCATGGTACAGATTCAGCAGTCACTTAAGTACCTGCTTAGCCTTAAGGGCATGAGTAATCACAGCCTTCTTTATCAAAGCACTTAAGCACGTAGGTTAAGTCTGACTTCAATAAGACTTAAGCAAGTCTTTTTTTGTATTCAAGCGGAGTGCCCTAAGGGTCGGTCCTGGGGCCAGTTTGGTTCAATATCTTCATTAATGATCTGGAGGATAGCGTGGACTGCACCCTCAGCAAGTTTGCAGATGACACTAAACTGAGAGGAGTGGAAGATATGCTGGAGGGTAGGGAAAGGGTACAGAGGGACCTAGACAAATTAAAGGATTGAGCCAAAAGAAATCTGATGAGGTTCAACAAGGACAAGTGCAGAGTCCTGCATTTAGGATGGAAGAATCCCATGCACTCCTACAGACTAGGGACCAAGTGGCTAGGCAGCAGTTCTGCAGAAAAGGACCTAGGGGTTACATTGGACGAGAAGCTGCATATGAGTCAGCAGTGTGCTCTTGTTGCCAAGAAGGCTAACAGCATTTTGGGCTGTATAAGTAGGAGCATTGCCAGCAGATCGAGGGACGTGATCATTCCCCTCTATTCAACATCGATGAGGCCTCATCTGGAGTACTGTGTCCAGTTTTGGGCCCTACACTACAAGAAGGATGTGGAAAAATTGGAAAGAGTCCAGTGGAGGGCAACAAAAATGATTAGGGGGCTGGAGCACATGACTTATGAGGAGAGGCTGAGGGAACTGGGATTGTTTAGTCTGCAGAAGAGAAGAATGAGGAGGGATTTGATAGCTGCTTTCAACTATCTGAAAGGGGGTTCCAAAGAGGACAGATCTAGACTGTTCTCAGTGGTACCAGATGAAAGAACAAGGAGTCATGGTCTCAAGTTGCAGTGGGGGAGGCTTAGGTTGGATATTAGGAAAAACATTTTCACTAGGAGGGTGGTGAAGCACTGGAATGGTTTACCTAGGGAGGTGGTGGAATCTCCTTCCTTAGATGTTTTTTAAGGTCAGGCTTGACAAAGCCCTGGCTGGGATGATTTAGTTGGGGTTGGTCCTGCTTTGAGCAGGGGGTTGGACTAGATGACTTCCTGAGGTCCCTTCCAACCCTGATATTCTATGATTCTAAGTGCCTAAGTGCCAAATTCATGGTCCAGTTTGGTGAATTTCATGGTCATAGGATTTTAAAAATAAAAAAAATTCATGATTTGAGCTATTTAAATCTGAATTTTCATGGTGTTGTAGTTGTAGGAGTTGTGAGGGGGGTCACAAGATTATTCGGGGGGAGAGTTGTGGTACTGCTACCCTTACTTCTGTGCTGCTGCTGGCGGTGGCGCTGCCTTCAGAACTGGGCAGCTGGAGACTGTGGCTTCTGGCCGGGAGCCCAGCTCTGAAGGCATAGGTGCTGCCAGCAGCAGCGCAGAAGTAAGGATGGCATGGTATGGTATTGCCATCCATACTTCTGCGCTGCTGCCTGCAGAGCTGGGCCCTCAGTCAGCAGCCGCCACTCTGCAGCAGCACAGAAGTAAAGGTGGCATGGTATTGCCACCCTTAATTCTTGCTGGTGGGACACTGCCGTCAGAGGTGGGCAACACCGCTCTCCAGCTGCCCAGCTCTGAAGGCAGCACAGAAGTAAGTGTGACAATACCGTGACCCCCCTAACATAACCTTGCGATCCCCACTGCAACTCCCTTTTGGGACAGGACCCCCAATTTGAGAAACGGTGGTCTCCCCCCATGAAATCTGTATAGTATTGGGTAAAAGCACACAAAAGACAATATTTAACGGTCCATGACACGTTTTTCATGGCCGTTAATTTGGTAGGGCCCTAGCTATGCTGACTGGAGATGGGATAACTCATGTGCTTGAAGTGTTTGGATGATTTGTGATCTATAATCTGAAAAGAGGCCATTCAGTACTTAATACAATTAGCAACAATTTGACACCCTGACACTGACTTGCTGAGTGACTGTGGGCAAGACTCTTCACTTCCGTGCCTCAATTTCTTCATCTGTAAAATAGGGATAATGATGAGGATGATCCTGTTTTGTAAGATACTTTGAGATATATGGATGGAAAGTGCTGTATGAGAGTGAATGATTAACTCAGGGAGAGTGACAAACATGGAAACAGTTTTCAGAGACTGGTCAGGAGGAGAGCAGGAGCTTCCATTGAGTCTGTGTGGAGAACAGAAGTTCCTTGAATCTATCAGAGATATGGTAAATAATGCTCCAGGGTAGCTGTTCAGAGCCATGAAGAGCGTGATTCAGTTAGAAAGTCACTTCCCTGAATCTGACTTGACGTTGCTGTGCTGGGAAGAATTTGCACATCTCTTTGCCAATCATGTTTAGAATGATGGGTGCAAATACATCTGTGCTGGTTTCACTTGGTCTCATCCCTTGTTGTGCAGAGGTTTCTGGTGGTACTGCGGATAGCCTGTGTCCAGGATCCCTTTCTGTTGTAGCTTGTGAAAGCCAGCGGTGAAGCACTTTGTTATTAGATGGGAGTTCTCACTTAGGACACACTAGAAGAGGGCAGAGTGCCATCCCTATTGAAATGTGCTGAGGTTTGGCTTGTGCTGGAGAAAGCGTATCTCAACTTTGATTTTCTGTTGAACTATTGGCCAGTCTTGAACCTCCCCCGTCTGGGGAACATGTTCTGGAAGTTAGTTGCCAAGCTACTGTGGAGTTATCTGGACAGGGTAAGCTTTCTGTCTTTCTCAATCTGGTTTCAGACCCAAGGATAAGGCTGAGATACTATAGCCTTGGCCACTAACACAAAACCCTAAGGCAGAGAGGATAACATGGGGGCAGTGCGACTGATGTGTAGGATGCATGACTGAGTGATGGATTCAGGGCATCGATATTAGATCTGTCACTTAGCTGTGTTCAGTGGCTATTCATCATGTAATAATGCTGATCTGGGTGCGTAGACTAGCTAAGGAGGACAGGACTTCACTGAAGTGAATCCATTCATTATTTAGAGGTAGGTATGAGTAAGCTTTCAGGACCCTTCTCGAGGCATCCAGGACTCATTGCTATTTTTGCTCCAGGAAGCCATGAGAACTATTTAGCGGGTATTGTTACCCTCATACATGTCACTGTCTTATCAAGTCACAGGGTCCATTTTCTTTCCTCAGTAACAAACTGTTAAGGAGGGATTTTTAGTCTATAGTGACGGACACCAAAAATTGCCCCAAGGTTAAAAGCATGAAAACCATTTGCATCTGAGCATTTTCAAGCATAGCATTGCAGTGGCAGTCTCTGTGGTGAACTCTGTCTTCGTGCTCTCTTGTTGTTTAACTGAGATGACAGATTGGCTGGAATAAAGTTAATTAAAGCAGAATAGTGATGAAACCGATAGGCATTTCTTGCTGAGTGAAGAAACTGCTGTAGGCTCTTGCTTGTTCCCTGCCTGCCAGCGACAGGATTCAGGAGCGCCCGTTGACATAGTGTTGAAAATCATGTCCCTTAATTAGGTATCTAAATCTTGATTTCAGTGGGTAATAGGCAACACTGGCACCCTGTGTCTGAAATTGTGGCCATCTAATGGCCATTCAGTGGCCTGTGTAAAATGAATTGGTGTTCTCAGGCCAGTTCCTAGTAGCCATTTGTCCACATCACAGCTCCAACTACCACATTTCACACGGGTCATCACCCTTGTGGACAATGGGGCTAATCCAAAGCCCACTAAAGTTGAAGGAAGCCTTTCCATTGACTTCAACAGGCTTTGGATGAGGGCATGTTTGCCAGCCATTGACTGGGCGAAGGGCTAGCATTACATTCTGAGCCGTAGAAGTGGTCCTTCCAGGATAGGCCAGGGGCTCACTAGCATTGCAACTTGGGGCAGTCTTGCATTGCTTCCGCTCAGGCTGCATCATTTTGTTTAACATAGCTGCAGTGTTGTTCTCCCTAGGACTATGTTGGAGAATAACTGCTTCCACAACTATTTGTATTGAAACAG